ATAAGACTTTCAGCATCTGTAGAGCTAATCATCTGCTATAGATGGTGAAAGTTTCAAACTCCTACTGGACTTAGCTTTTAAATCGCGATGTTTTTAACGGAAAGAGCGCAGTTGTGAAAAACGTCCAAATTGAGCTCGAGCTAGCAAACATTCGCATTCTGAGCGATTTCTATAAAATCTGTGTGCTCATTCCTTGGACTATTGAGACGCCCCTGGTCTATTATCTTATAATGGTAATTATTTACATTCAATTAGTTGTAAACATTATCGAATTTGGACTGATTTCTTTATTATCTTTCTCCACATTTCTATCGATAGATAATAACAGGCGTGCTCAGTCGATGTCAAGTAGTCTAGAACGAACTGTCGATTAAGAGATAATGTAGCACAGGTTGCTGATTAAAGACTATTAATAATTGACAAAAAAAGACAACAATTTGAGTGTTGAGTGCAGTGACTACATTTTTTTAAATATTTAATTCAGGTATTTCACAGAGGATTCATTGTTTCAAGTGCTTGTTTCTGCAACTGAATGTACCGGGAACCGAAAACTTCTTATTAAAATAGTTTGTGGCTGATAATCAAGGTTCCAGTATCATAAACTATTCAGTCTAGATTAGGGGCTGTTGCGTACGACGTCTATTATCGTTGGTATATCAGAAAGCAAATAATCCGCAAATGATGAGAATTTCTTGTTAAAGTAATTTCCCGCACTGAAAATTGTGCACCTTGTGGCAAAATCACGCTTAACTTAGTGCGCCATTCATTCAAATTAACCAACAGCATCGCACACGCTCAAACTCAATGACGAATTCCGAATCAAAGTCGTAAAATTTGTTTTAGACAACAACGAAGCTGCGCCAAATTATCATCTACTCATTGTAAGACAACGACTTAAATGAAGGCGAGACGCTTTAAATAGCGCATTTCTTTCAAACTCAGCTATCCCATTCAGTCAGCTATCAGCCTCCAGAAATAGCACTTGTAAATCAAAGTTTTTTGAACCAATTAGAACGGAAATACCTAATTAAGTAGATATTCCAGGTATTTTTAAAACAAAAGGAACAAAACAAAAGGTGGTTCATTGGCGCTCATGATAGATAACGCGTGTGGCTGCGGTTCTTTTTTCGTCAAAGATATTTGCTTCTGATCGCCCGCATTGGTGCAGTTTTTGTTAATCCARCTAACGCGYTTTTGTGCCMAGTGAATGGTTTAGAAGACATTAAAAGGTGGTTAATTCAAGAGTATGAGCAATCGAAGAACGGATTTGGAAGGTGAGTTTACGAGAAAACTCGCAAAATAGTTCACGACATTAGAGACAAAACAGGTCCAAAGCACGTGGATATCAAACAGAAGTTGTGATTTTCTTCAAAGTGGTATCTAAATAGTGCTTGTTTTTCTCCCTGTTAACTTCTTCTGGCCACAAGTAACCAAGTTGAGGTATGGACTCATAGAATGGCCGGTCAGATGTCCCGATCTAACTCCCATGGATCTTTCTGTAAAGCTACCTAAAATCTAGAGTCCAAATCGTAACGGATACGTGAAGATCGCTTTGGGCATCTGGACCTTTATTCATTTTTCAAAAATCGCTCATCGGCTCACTTTTAACAAAACTCTTGGAACCAATAAAGGAAAGCATGTTCTGTTGAAGGCATCTAACAAGATGTAGGTAGTTAGAGTGGATTTTCAAGAATTAATTTTCAAAATTCTCGTTTTATTCGTTGTAAATTAGTCAGTGGATCTTCACAAAATTTTCAAATGTTTGGCGTCCAAACTTTTATAAATGTTTCAAMAATCGGCTCAATTTTMWTACAAACTTTCTCAAATTATACCGGAAAGCATGTTCTGTTGAAGTAAATAAAAGAAAATGCMCTTTCAAATCYTTTTAAAATAYTGTGAGTGGATCTTAAAATTTCCCAAAAATGASAGYAAAAARGCAAATTTGCTTGATAGTTTGACTGCCATAGAAAAATGTTTATGCAATAGTTTTAAGTAACACCTTAAAAAACCGATTGTATAAAGAACTAAAAAATGACCAATTGGATCCACAYTTTTAATCATTTWTCAAAAATCGTTAATGTGCTYTATTTGAAAATTTCGGCCATTAARAGAAAAAATCCCGTTCYATAGGAAAAATCTCAAATATCGTTAARACTTTTGGTTTTTCAGGAATAAATATTCAAATATGCCATTTGAAATCGTYGAAAATKATTGTCARTCRATCTTMTCAAATTTCTCTAAAATTCACGAAAACACAATCTGGTTAGAACTGTGGACTACCATAAAAACAYATGCTTTGTTCAATAGATCGAAGGTCTTTCGTGAAAAAATTGGCGCTTTTGAGGAATTATTGTGCAACTAAACATCGATATACATCCCTAAGAAGAGATGATTTATCATTTTCTTAAGAATGGCTCATTTCAACAATTATACAGAAAGGCATGATCTACTCAAATTTCCTCAAAATCCACTAAAAATGCGAATTAATTAGAAATATTAACCACAAGAGAAAAACGTATGCTTTATTCAATAGAATTGACTCGTTTTCTACAAAAATGTGTTCCTTTGAGAAATTAATGCGCAAATAACGATGGAAATACATCGCTAAGGAGAGACAATTTCCATTCAGATTTTTATTATTTTTCAAAAAATCGCTCATTGGTTTAATTTTAATACAAATTTCTGAAATTATTCAGGAAAGCATGTTTTCTTGGTCAAATCCAAAAAACGTTTAAGTATATGGACAAACTTTCGAAAAATTCACTATAAAAGCAAATTATTTGCAAGATTGACAATAACAAACAATAAAAAAACCGTATACTTTGTTTAATAAAACTGAGGAAAAACATTGGTTCTTTGTTGGGATTAATTTACGATTAGAGTTCATCAACATTTTGCTAGTCCGACCAAATCGACGGGCAAACTTTAACAAAATCGGCAAATATCATCGTAAACTCCGATTTTTTGTCCTTTTTGGCAGCAACAACACGAAATTTATAGAGCGATTTAATTGATGACCAGAAACTGAAAAAATTGCGTATGTGTTAAAGACACTTTTAAACAGAAGAACGCTCTGTTGCATCAAAACTATCTTGGTTAAGCACATATGGAAAATTCCGTTGGAAAAGTGTGTGTGTGTTAGAGCCAAGGGAACAACAAACAAACTTTTTTGAAGCAAAGAATTGCAAAATAAATATTCCTCGATATATTTTTGGTCTAATTAACACATTTTCTAGCCAGTCCTTGACAATGCTATCAATAAATGAGATTTGTGCAAAGTCAAGCCAAACATGTTAACACAGACGTCGACCAGCATTTGCTTTTTGCATGATCAATATTTGGATTTTCACTTAGACATTTGCCATGTTATTTGAACTGACTATCACTAAAAACATGTATTTTTCCCTGCAGAGCTGCCGCTACAAACCTTTGGAGTCTACGAGAGAAGATCGTCGAAGAATCTCAAGGGACCCTTGCGGGTGGTGCGATTATGCATCTTGGGAGTTGTGGTTCCAACCCTTATATTGGGAGTTCCTCTTTATTTGAGATACAATGTTTACGGCGCTCAGCTTTATCCATTGGCCATGTCCGATATGCGGATGATAGATAATAGAGTGTCCACGACATGGTGCCAGGTAAAGTTCGTCTTTTGCTCTATTTTACGCATTAACGGACCTAAACAACTAAAACATCCAAATGTTTTCACCAGAACAAGATTCTTTTTGCTTTTGTCTCATCAACTTTCCTCTCGCATGTAAATTAATCTGTGTGTTGACCTCTTATCTTGATGACTCCTCAGTAATTGGTTAATTTGCGTTTTTGGAATCATACGAGAAACCAGTGCAAACTGCCTGGAATTTGCCGTAAAATTTCCAAAAAAGCATTGAAAATTGCGCGTGTTTTTTCTTGTAAACTAAGTTGTAAAACAAATATTGCCATGCGGGTTTAAAGGAGAAAGTTCCAGCACAAATCGCTTGTGAAATAAGAACAATACATTCATGTGGATGGTGGATTTTCGGCTATTTGCGCTGCAGTCTTACAACAATGGGCCAACGGTGCCAAATATTGACTCAACAATCTTGGTTATTTATGATCATTTCAACCTAAGCATTCGATTAATTAGTCCTTTTTCTCGTGCGTTGCACTAGTTTAGATGTTCGCAAAGAAAATGGCATCGAGTAATCAAAAAAAGTCACATTTAGAAATGTTTTCCGGGCTTTGAAGCCGTGGTCCATGGAAACTTCTTCCTGACGTTTCGTCCACAACTGCGCTGGACATTATCAAAGGCGATGAGGCAGTGGGCGAAGTGATCTCCCGTGCTTTCCGATTAAGACTGGTTCAACTACTGGATCCCCTGTGGCCGCATAAATACGACAGTCTTAGTCGGAAAGCACGGGAGATCACTTCGCCCACTGCCTCATCGCCTTTGAT